AAAATCTGGTTTGATTATAGTAAATGTTTGCATGACACAAAACAAAATGTTCCGAATATTTACTATAATCAAACCAGATTTTTTATCTTTAATAGTGTATGAATCATCATCAAATATTACTGAATATTCATCATCTATCAATTGTCCAATATTCAACAAGTTATGTGATAAAGTAGGAACAAAGAAAATATTATCAAGGTATTTTACTTTCCCTTGATTTATCTTCACCTCAATTGTTCTTTTCCCTTCCATTTGGATTTGCTTGCTATCTCCAAGTCTAACTTTTAACTTGTGAGTTTCATCAATATCTTTAAATATTGATTTTATGCCTGACATATGATTAGAACATCCACTATCTAGAAACCAAATATCATTTGAGATATTATGAACTTGTGAATGAATCATAAACAACTTATTATTTTCTTCATTTTCCTCCACATTGCTTGCTTGCTTTTCTCTTTTCTACCTATTTATATGACCAAACTTTTTATAATAGTGACATTGAGAGCATCTAATTGTCTTGAATTAATTCATGCTGACTTATGTTGACCTATAAATATAAAATCATTTGGTGGAAGTCAATATTAATCAACAATGCAACTATGAATCAAGGGAGAGTGTTAAGATTTGATTCATAGTTATCTATGTAGATAATTATCATGATTTAGTGGTTATAGGATGATTTCAATAACCATCGCAGGTCCTATAAATAAGATTATAGTTCATGAAGTAAGGATATAGAGAGTGTGTGCACTTGAAAAAATCTTGTAAGTATTCTTATAAATCCTCCTGTTTTTAAATATTACATTAGTTTTCTTGAATCGAAAATATTCTTTTACTTGCATCATGATATTCTATTTTTTCTTTACTCCTCCATCCAAACAACCATGATTCAGAAGAACATTGCTCGGTTTAACATCCCAGTGAACAATCGAAGGTAGCCCAACGCGGAAGCCACATCGATCGATATGTTCAAGGCTTAGCGAACCCTGTTCGTCTCTTTCGGGAGGATGAAGCCACTCGTCCAGGCTTCCATTCGGTAAGAACTCAAACACTAGAGCTTTGAAGCCGTTCCGTCCGAAATCAACACCCGAGCATGATGTTAGTGCCTTGACGAGATTCCGATGCCTGGTGTTTCTCAAAGCTTCACATTCAGCTACGAAGCTTCTTGAAGCTCCTCTTTGCTGCCGGTTGAGTACCTTCACCGCCACATCCTTGTGGTCTTCCCAATCCACGACGCCTCTGTACACAGATCCGAAGCTTCCCGTGCCAGTAAGGTTAGCAGGCGAAAACCCATCGGTTGCTTTGGTTAGCTCAGCAAAAGTGACCTTCCGGTGTTGATCTTTGCTGCGAGCGGTGACGGAGTAGTGTGTCCTCGACTTGCATGGCCAGTAACGAGCAGCAAAACAGGAAATCAGAAAGATGACACAACAGATTCCTCCGGCAACAGAGATGATCGCAATCAACTTCACAGACGAAGTCTTCTTCCCAGAGGAGCATGAGGGCAATCCAAGTTGGGGAACACCCCACAAAGATTGATGTTTCCCAACACTGAGAAAGCACTCACGTTTCCGAAAATCCCATCCGTTGGCACTTCACCGTCCAGATTGTTGTAGGAGAGATTAAGGTAAGTCATGCTCCGAGAGCTCCCGACAAAATCTGGTGTACGTCCCCATAAATCGTTGCTTGAAATGTCCAGCACTCGAAGCCCTTTTAACTGCCCAAATGACGATGGAATGTGCCCATGGAAAAAGTTCCCATGCATGTGAAGGTACTGCAAGACTTCACATCGAGCAATGGTGCCTGGAATTTCACCCGACAATCTATTGCTGGAGACATCCACAATTTGGATGTTCCTCAGGTTCCCAATTTCCGGCGGCAGTGATCCTGTCAATGAATTGTGTGAAATATCGAAGAGTTTGGTGAGACTGAGGATGTAAAAGATCTCTTTTGGCACCCCCACCGCTTAACTTGTTGAATGCCAAGTTCAAGGTATCCAATGGGCACTTTCCAAGACTCGGAGGTATGGATCCACGCAGTTCATTGGAGGACAGAAGAAGAGAGGTTAATCGACTGAGGTTGCCGAGGGTGGCAGGGATTTCACCCACCAAGTAATTCTCGCTCAAATCCATCCGTATTAACCTCCGAAGGCTTCCGAGTGCTGCGGGAATGGTGGCGTCAACAAGGTTGGAGGACATGGTAATCACGGTCAAATTACTGAGATTTCCGATCTCTGTTGGAATGGATCCAGCTATTTGGTTGTCGTGGATTTTTAACCATTGCAGGGTTTTGGACAGATTGGCTACGGATTTTGGCAACACGCCGGACAGATGATTGATTGATAGATCCAATATCCTGAGGCGGGTGCAGTTGGTCAAGGCATCTAAGAAACTCCACTCAGCAGCATTCTTCGCTTCCAGGTGATTGTGACGGAGAAGCAACGCGTCCAAGTTCCGCAAAGACCACAGAGTATTGGGAATGGTGCCAACCAGGTTGTTGTTCTGTAAAAACACGGCAGATACCTTCTCCAGCTTCCCAATCTCGGGTGGGATGGTGCCGGTGAATTCGTTAGAACTCAGTAAAAGTCTCTCCAACCCAACAAGATTGCGTATGTCGGATGGGATGGCTCCCGTGAGACGATTATTCCACAGCAGAAGCCCGCGAAGAGAGGTGAGGTTCCGCAGCAGGGATGGCTCCTGCAAGAAGATTATTGGACAGATCAAGTTGGGTAAGAGAGGAGAGGTTTCCTATCGCAGCAGGAATAGGTCCATCGAGATGGTTGAAACGCATGTGAAGTCCTGTTAAGCTTGCAAGCTTCCCGATCTCCGGAGGAATGCTTCCCTCGAGGAGATTGTCCCAGATGGCGACTGTCTCTAGCTTCGGTAGAGAGCCGATATCGCTGGGGATGTTTCCTTCGAGCATGTTCCGATCCAAATCAATAACTCGTAGATACAAACAGTTGCTGAGATTGCGTGGGATTGTCCGGTTGAGATTGTTATGACTCAGGCTGAAGATTCGGAGTTCGGAACAATTCTGGAGCAGCGAAGTGGGAATCATCCCACCCAGATGATTGTAACTTAGATTGAGGGACCGAAGCCGGGATAGAAAGCCGAGCTCCTGCGGAATGGAACCCTCGAGGCTGTTGTTGCCGAGGCGGAGTCTCCTGAGGAAGGTGAGGTTAGCAAGGGACGGAGATAATTTACCCTTCAACCGGAGGGACTCCAACACCAGAGCTGTGACCCTCGGTTCACCGTCATGATTACGGCAGTTCACCCCTCGCCACCGGCAGAAATGGAGGGAGCTGTTCCCCCAGGAGACCAGTGCTCCGGATGGGCCCGAGACGAGAGTCTTGAAGGAGAGGATAGCGAGGCGATCTGTATCGAATTCAGCGGTAGGAGTTCCGAGCTGGGAAGCTGATAGGCCTGCGGAAGACAAGATTACGAGGAGGAAAAGGAAGAAGGATGTCGGCGGCGGAGGTGCACGTACAAATACGAAGAAGCGCCCTCGTTTTCGTTCCATGCAAGCACTCTTGTGACTCCCGAGATCTGTGAGCAATCCGTATCTTGAAATGTTGTGAGTTGCTTGGAGCTATGTTGCCTTTGGAAGACGTCCGCGGTATAAGCTCAAAGGCTAAGTTGACATTAGAGCTGAGTTTTGTATAGGCCTCATGTACATTATACATGACAAGTGCGCACCAGCTTATGTGATGCTGCTGTAAGGTGGAAACATTCCTCGATCTTCTTCTTGTTTTGTTCATTTAAATTCATTCTATCAAGCATTGGCGGAAGCAACTAAAACTTCAGATTAAGCTAAACGAGTCTATATATTCTCCTAATCTTTTAGAACAAAACTTGCATTGAACTAACTACGTGAGTTCCATGACTTCACCAAAGCCGATAATTCACCTTTAGATTTCAACCTGTAAGGAACTAATGAGTCCCGTGCACATTACACCACGAATACATTCTAATATTTTCTTTTCTTATTATTTCAATATCATTATTTTTTATTCCTTTTATTTCCTTCATTACATGAATATCCAATTAATTGAGAATATCAAGATTCATCAATTTATAATTCAAAACATATATCTTATTTAATAAAAATATGAGAGAATTCAAAATCATACCTCAAATATTTTTTCTGAACTTAGATTTAATATCAAAACTAAGTCCTCCACAATTTTCTTCTTATTTTTCTCCTTGTTTTCTTCCCTTTTTTTTTTTCTCTGCTTTTCTTTCTTTTCGCAGGTGCCGATCAAGTGCACGAACCCTTTCTTTTTTCCTTTTTCTTCCTCTCGTTTCTCTTCCTTCTCTCTTCTCGTCTCTCTTTCTTCTTCTCTTCCATCCCTCCTTCTCCTTTCTTTCGTCTCTCGTTTCTTTCTCCCTCTCTGTTTTGCTTTCTTCCTTCTCTCACAGGCGATGCGTCCCTATCGTCGCTCTTTTCCTTCCCCTCTGCTCCTTTCCTTCTCGTTCTTTTCTTCTGCTTTTTCCCTCTTCTTTTAACCCTCTGTACCTTCTTTTTCTCTCTCGCACTCCCACGCCACCGCAGTCTCTGTGTTCCACCCGAGGGTGAGAGAAAGACGGTTCGGGAGACGATGGGTATAAATCCTTATTTTTTTGAATTTAATCGCTGCAATATCTATATTTACGAATAGTTTGTCAGAAAAATTAAAGATATTACAAGTTAATAAGCACCATGATTGAGTTAGTTTTATGAACTATCCTATAACTTTTAGATCATGGATCACTTCTTGAAACATACTTAAATTACTTAAAACATTGTAACTACTATGAATCAATTCTTAACAATGTTTGCTCTGTGCAAACAATTATTTCGACTTCGAGCTACGAAAATGATTCCGACAAAAAAAAACTCAAATTAGGAAATCTGTTATCATTAACTTATCGAGACAACTTTTCTTAATGTAGTTTGTCGAGAAGAAAAAAATTAGATTAGAAATCTAATTCAAAGTACTGTTATGACATAAGGGCTTTATTAAAGCTTAGACCAAAATTTTATAGACTTAATTACCTCTTTTATCTCTTTCCCGGACAGGTAAGATCTCTTTCATTTCAAAACAATCTAATGCTATTCAGATGGAGAATTTTAGACTATTATACTATGTAACATCATGTACAAATTATTCCTCAAAGTTCTTATGAATAAAATCAAGTCTCATATCATTCACATTATCAATCAAGAATAATCTACGTTAATGAACGTGAAAATATTCATGAAAATATATTTATTTTCTCGGAAATGGCACAACTCATGTGTCTATCCCAAAAAAAAAATAGAACTTTTTATATTCTCCTAATGCTCGACATAAAAAAAAAAAGTTTTTTATGAGGTCATCACTCCTTCCTTTGAATCTATGAACTTTCTTTCTAAATTCATTGATTGAATTTATGTTTATATCTCCTATTCCATCTTTGTTTGCTTGATTAACACGGAGATCAATCCTAATAATTTAAGAGTTATTAAGGAATAAGTTAGGGAGATCTCTTTCCCTCACACTTGTTCATTATTATTCGATAGATCTTTTTTATATTAATCACCAATGCTATTCAGAGTATTACTTCTATTAATATCATGGAAAGAATAGAAGATAAGAATAATTATTGAAGAAACTTTATTGAAGAAATTTTATTTAAGTAACTTTAGCTTGGATACATTAACATGTCTTTCTCCTATTTATACATATTAGGAAAGAGAATTTTCCTCAACAAAATAAAAGATTTTTCTTAACAGAATAGAAAAATTTTCCCTCCCCGGTTGTTCCCTTGAAACTCCTTGAGTATTTAAGAAGGCACTTGGCCTCCCTCTCAAATGCTTAGAACTCACTTATTTAGGGATAGGTTGCATAATTGATAATGAAGCTTTCTCATCCACAAAGTCTTCGCAAAAGAACAATTCTGTGTTGAACAAACCATTATCATTCTTAGGATTTTCAGTAAACTATGATGTAGGCTGTCAGGGAAGAAAAATCAAACTAGGCTGCTGATGAATCGATGATACATTCAATGACGATCTTTTTCCATAGTGTTGTGACTTTGACCATGGGTTACTAAAATTGACTCGATCAACGAGGCAACATCCATTCTTAACCAACCTGAAAGCAATTGCCCCGAAACCCTGAGCACGTACCAGTATTAGTGTTTTATGCTCGGTGATTCATCTTACCTCTCAAACGTCATTCCTGGTTTGATATTTTCTTCGCCGCAAACTACACCATCAATTGAATGATACCAGTCTCCCTGTTGAACATTCAGCCCCTCAACTTGAACAGTGGTGCAGGTCGTCACTGTCACTGTTTAATGCTTTGGAGAAAAAAGAGATCGTCTCTTGTCAAGCTTTTTGCCTTCACCATACGATCGATCGAGAGCTTAGTGATGATTGTCTTTCTTCTCCTCCATCTTTAATGCGCCTGTAGCAAGCGTGGAATTATCTCAGTCTGCTAATTAAACTGGACGAGCGGGTTGTTCCATGTCATTATGAGAGGTCGCAAACCGGTGAAGGAAAATTTCTTGTGCTCTCGTGTTCTCTTATCTTTAATGGGCAGTAGTGGTGATCAGTACAAATTGCAAGACTTCTCCCCTCTATATATACCCATACGGGTAGATCATGGTTTGGCCAACTCAAATTACTTTGGTATAAAGATGCTTAGAGAGTGCGGAATGTAGAGCGATCTCCCAAGTCAGAAGAACACTTGCGTGGAGAGAACAGGGCATAAGTGTTTCATGTTTGCATGGGTCCTTTGGCCATCTCCGTCATGCTTTTGCATCTCATGTTCCTCTCTTCTGTAGGCTTATCTGCAGCATCCCAAATGGAGACTCCCACCGCTGAATCCACCAACGCCGATCGCCTCTCACTCCGCTCCTTCAAGACCCTCCTCTCCGACCCATCCGGAGCGTTGGCCTCCTGGGACAACGTCTCCCTCCATTTCTGCTGGTGGCGAGGGGTGAAGTGCCGTAACCACGGAGGTGAACCGAGGGTCACAGCCCTCAAGTTGGAGTCCCTTCAGTTGCAGGGTAAATTATCTCCGTCCCTGGCTAACCTCACCTTCCTCAGGAATCTCAGCCTCGGTAACAACAGCCTTGAGGGTTCCATCCCGCAGGAGCTCGGCTCTCTATCCCACCTTTGGACTCTCGATCTTAACAACAATAATCTGGGTGGGATGATTCCCACTTCTCTGTTCCAGAACTGTTCAAGACTTCAAATCTTCAACCTGAGTCATAACAACATGAGTGGCACAATCCCACGCAATCTCAGCAACTGTTTGGAACTCCGACTCATTGGTTTGGATAACAACAAGCTCGAAGGAGAGATCCCCGGTGATATTGGCTCCCTTACGAAGCTAAAGGCGATCGTCATCTGGGCCAATCGCCTCACCGGAAGCATTCCTCCGGAGATTGGGAATCTTCGATTCCTAGCAACACTTATCTTGGGCCACAACCATCTCAACGGCACTATCCCAGCTACACTAGGCAACCTCTCCTCTCTTGGCTATCTTGATCTATCAAATAATCGTCTTGCAGGAGCCATCCCTAGTGCAATATGGAACCTCACCTCTCTCGATAAACTTGTGCTGGTCGGTGATTCACTCACAGGAGTCATCCCATCCGACATCGGAAATCTAGTCCGCCTTACGTATCTTACTCTGTTTGAGAACCTCCTGGTTGGCACCATTCCCCCGACTTTGGGATCGTTGAACAAATTAGAGATATTGTTTCTCAGTGACAATAAGTTCGAAGCAAGGAATGCTGCCGGTTGGAGGTTTTTGGATGCCTTGACCAACTGCAGCCACCTTAGAATATTGGATATATCTGTCAATCAACTAAGTGGCGTGTTGCCAAAATCCGTAGCCAATTTGTCCAAATCCCTTGAAATGCTACATATCGGAGGCAACCAAATAGCCGGAAACATTCCTACGGAGATTGGGAATTTTATGAACTTAACCGAAATTGACGCGTCCTCCAACCTCCTCCATGGTATTATTCCTACCACGCTGGGAGGCCTCCCGAGATTACAACGACTAAACTTAAGCCGAAATCAGTTTGCGAGAGAAATCCCTGCAACCATAGGCAATCTTTCGAGCTTGGTTCGACTAGACTTAAGTGGAAACAATTTCGTGGGAGAAATCCCTGCTACCCTCGGCGAACTTCGACGATTGAACCTTCTTCAGTTGGACGACAACCAACTGCACGGATCCATACCTCCGAGTCTTGGAAATTGCCCACTAGAGACCTTGAACCTTGCGGCCAATAAGCTGACAGGTACGACGCCCAAAGAGATCTTTTACATGCCCAGTCTCACCAAACTCTTCAACATTTCCTACAATTCGTTGACGGGATCCCTACCATTAGAATTTGGGAACTTGAAGAACGTCCCAACCATCGATGTCTCAAACAATAGATTGTCCGGTGAAATTCCCAGCACCATTGCTGAATGTCAAGTCCTGCAATACCTTTACATGCAAGGGAACCTTTTCCGTGGATCCATTCCTTCATTTGGGCAGCTAAAGGGGCTTCGAGTGCTGGACATTTCGAGAAATAATCTATCGGGGCATATACCAGATTTTCTTCGGAGCTTTAACATGACTTATCTTAATCTTTCCTTCAATGATTTGGACGGTGAAGTGCCAAAAGATGGGATTTTCGGAAATGCAAGTGCATTCTCAGTAGTGGGGAACAGTAAACTCTGTGGGGGTATTCCAGAACTCAGATTGCCATCATGTACTTCCCAGAAGAAATCTTCTTCGTCTGTCAAGCTAATTGCCATCACCTCTGTTGCCGGAGGAATCTTGTTCGTCACCTTTCTAATCTCTTTGTTGGTTGCTCGTCACCTAATACGCAAGTCAAGCAGGCTTTCTTCTGTTACCTCATATATCAGAGAGCAGCACAGGAAGGTCTCCTATGCTGAGCTGCTCAGAGCAACAAATGAATTTTCGCCTGCTAATCTGATCGGCATGGGAAGCTTCGGATCTGTGTACAAAGGTATCGTGGATTGGGAAGACCACAAGGACGTGGCGGTGAAGGTACTCAACCTGCAGCAAAGAGGGGCTTCAAGAAGCTTCTTAGCTGAATGCGAAGCTTTGAGGAACGTCAGGCATCGCAATCTCGTCAAGGTACTAACATCGTGCTCAGGTGTTGATTTCCGAGGGAATGACTTCAAAGCTCTCGTGTTTGAGTTCCTACCAAATGGAAGTCTGGACAAGTGGCTTCATCCTCCTGAAAGAGATGAACAGGGATCGATAAGAATGCTAAGCCTTCTCCAGAGACTGAATATATCGATTGATGTGGCTTCCGCGTTGGCTTATCTTCATCACCATGTCCCATCCCCTATTGTTCATTGTGATCTTAAACCGAGCAATGTTCTTCTGGATCATGACATGGTTGCACGTGTGGGAGACTTCGGACTAGCGAGAATTCTGAACAGGATCATGAGCAAGTCATCCCAGAGGTCGACGAACTCGGCCACGTTGAAAGGGTCAATCGGATATGCTGCTCCAGGTGTGTTTCTCACTTTTCGCTTGCTCTGATGCTTTATCTGTTGTTGATTTCACGTACTGATACACATTTCTCATCTTACAATTATCTTTCAGAGTATGGGATGGGCAACAAAGTTTCTATCCAGGGGGACGTGTACAGTTATGGAATTCTGCTGCTGGAGATGTTTACCGGAAGGCGACCTACCGATGATGGTTTCGAGGCTGGTCTGAATCTTCATCAATACGTTGAGATGGCTCTTCCAGACCAAGTCGCCGATATAATGGACCCAAACTTGTTCTTGGGAACCGGAGAAGGAAAAGTACACCCCGCAAATCCGTCGGCAAATAGGCCAAACATAAGGGCAGTAGAGTGCGTGACTTCGGTGCTTAGAGTCGGCATTTTCTGTTCCAAGGAATCACCGAAAGAACGAATGGACATGGAAGATGTCATAAGGGAGCTTCACGACATCAGGGACGCATATCTGGGATTGCCTCTGCAGGAGTAGAGCTATGACACGACAGGGTAGTGAGTTCATGTACTGTTGCTTTTACCAAATAAGTTGTGTGGTGTGTATGACCAGGAATTTTCACTTTCGCAAGGCTTCCTGCGTGACTTATTTGCTTGGAAATGCCTTCCGTCCGACTGTAGAGTAGTAGTATTTTGTGGTATTCGAGTGTTCTCATTCCATATGCTTCAATACACTTTGTATATGTGAAACTATGTTTGATGCTTTGCCAAGATTATTTTTGACACACATTCGTGGCAACTTATCTAACTTTAGGTAGCGGAGCTTAGCATTGGGCAGTGAGTCCTCTCTCCGACAACATATCCGGATGATTAAGGTGCAGAATGTACAGTCTATTTTGCCTGTATAAGAAGATTTTTAAGCAATCATCTCACACCGGTAGATTTTCTACGCTATCAAAGACAGACGAGGAAACCGAAGGCTGCAAATAAATTATTTTCAAGGAGATCCCAATAGCAGAGAATCGTTCTATTTTGACTGTACAAGTAGATTCAAAGTCAAATTACACGGCAAATTGTGTTCCAATGTAGGATGGCAATAATTTAAATAAGACTTAACTTGAACTTTGCGATACCAGCTTCCAAGCAATTGCTTCCAGATTGCCTAAGAATGATACGAATCGACATATGAAATCTATCGAAGTCATTCGTCCGCACACAGCAAACACTACTACTAGTATGTGCTCAGCAGGGTTTTTGGTGTGCAAATACGGGCGTTTCAGACAACTTATTTTGAGTGTCCTGCTGCTCGGCCTTCACACTCCCAGGTTCGTCTATGGACATGGAACTAACATCTGAAGCCTAGCATGCAATAAACAGGGGGGAAATGGAGATCAATTTACATGTCCATCAGCAGTGTTATGACTTGACTGCAAACATATATCAATTAGAAAACATAGAAGCCACCTTGGGGCCTGAGACATCCTCGGCCATGGGTTCCACGACTTTGGCATGATCTCCACCAACTTTCTGAGCTTCCTGCAATATATAATAGTTGAATTATAAATAAGTAAAAACATGAGAATAAAAACTGAATGAGTATCAGTAACTCCTAAAATAATTCTAGAGTATTTTCTCCAAAAAAATTCTTATTATCAAAAGAAATTGTAAAAAATATAAGAACAAAATTTCACTTAATCAAAGAAGTGCACAACAGAAGAGGACCAAAATGTAGAGGTCTTCAGTTTGAGAATCTCTTGCCTTGAAATATAAAATTAACCAAGTTCAATGCATCTTCTTTAGGTCTCATTCAAATGAGCTAACAAAGCAAAGCTCGATGCAAATCTATTAAGCCAGTGCCACTAAATACATACTGGGAGGAGAATTTGTGGAATTCTTTTTGTCATTTCATCATGTCTGACCCTCAAGATACCTAATTCCTAACCAAGCAAAGAATTTTTAACAGAAACAATTAAATAAAATAGGATGCATATTAATCTTTTTTGAGCAATTTCAAAATCTAATATGCTCAAGACTATTCAACAAAAAGAAGCATGCATGTCATCTATGTCTGTGTCATATTAAATGTCTCAAATGGACTCTGTACTGTAACTGAATGTTCAAATTGGTTCTCATATTAAATATTTGTTCGAGTAGGCCCCTGAGCATAGGACTTGTCTACACGATACTCCCAGCACCAATGGTACTTATAGGTTTTGACATTTGCCTTATCACCAGTGTCGAAGCCCTTGATCTTCATCCTTTACCTCTCCTTCCGACATTCCTCTCCTCCTGATGTCTCCTCCTACCTCCTCCTACTGCTCATGATGGAGGATGATAAACCCATCTATGGTTTATGCACGATATAGCAAATACCATAAGAACTCCGATCAGGATGGTTCACATTAGCACATAAATGAAGTTGGTTATCCTTTAATACTTAAAAAAAACCTCCTAAAGCAACCAATAAAAGTGCCATAAAATTCTCAATATTCTCATGTGAAAAACTGCATCGAAAACATAATTGGCTGTTCAGAGTTGGCTGTTCAGAGCTATATATGAGTAAAGAAGCATCGATAACAAAGGCTCTGCAGTAAAAGCAATCATGCAGGTCCAAACACACACACACACACACACACACACACACACACACACACTATATTATAATGTACCTGTGTATGTTACAATTTACACAAAAAGAATCAGCAAACTGTACCTGATCTTTTGGTTCACATTCCATATTTTCCTTCTTGATTCTCACATTCTGGATATTATTTGAACAAGGTTTCCTGTAAACAAACATGTCTGTCAGTGAAAGGAATTAGATAGTACCATAAGGAAACAATCTGAGGAAAATAAATACCGAGAAGTCTCATCTGGATGCTTGGAACCATCCACATCCATATCAGAAGCCGGATCATGTCTTTCATCTGGGTCCTCTTGATCTTCATCTTGCTGAATATTGACATGCAATAGAAAAGTTGTAACAGTGTTGACATTCTCAAGGTTACTTTCCACATACTAAAAGTCTATATAAAAGATGTGAAATAATGCATGTATCACATCTCTTCATGCACGTAGTGAAGCTGCCCTTAACAAAGCTCGATAAATGAAAAGAAAAATCCAAATAGTCAGTCAAAATAGTTACTTGCCAACAGGGTAACAGATAGCACAACGTGCATAGGCTTGACTATGGTATTTATTCGCTACTAATGAACTCCAGGGCCATGGTTATGGCAATAATGCATACAACGTTCCTACACTATATAGCATGTGGAGTGCTCGCTCAGGCTGTGCCTGCGATGTCCATAAACAGTATCTTGCTCATGCAAGTTCCTTGTCAAAAGATAATTGTCACTATCATCCCACCTCCGGTGTCGATATGCAATGCTAGTTACATGGTCATGCTCGTGCCTGATTTTATAAGTGGCATTACATGCATGACAAACCCATGTGCATTATATCCATGATACAACAATAGCAGCATGGTTTGGCATGATTAATACAGCAATGCAGCCATACAACCAATCTTAAATTCAAGAGACAACTTAAAGCGATCGAGAAAAAATTATATAGCAATTCTCAAGAGAAAGTTTGAGGAAAACCAATCCAAAGGTTTTAATAGATGTACAAATAGAAAATATGCAAACAATATCCAAATCAGCTGCAAGATGCAGCATGTCTCTTTGAACCTTGGTCTAAAGAATTTAGCATAACTTAACAAGTTGCCTTTTGTGCATTAGCCATTTATATAATTTGGACTGCAGACAATCACTGCCACCGCTAGTATTATGATGGCATCATACTCCACTTCTACCACGTAGGCTGCAACACTATAAGAACCAGCAATCAGAAGTTCCTCGAAAGTTAAAGACTTTTATTCATAATTTATAGATGACCCCATGGACAGAAGAAACAATGTCTCTACAGCATTCATCACACGTTATGTTAATAGGTTCTGTACTAACCTTAAAACCCAGCAATCGGTTGGACCAAATTTAACTGCTATAGGGTTGACATACCATTTGGATCTATGTTGGAGATAAGAATAACACTGTCGAGTAAAAAACATAGAAAAGGAACTTTGGCATAAGAAGAAATAAACAAAGCATAAAAATATCTATAAAACAATTGAGGAAGCAAAAGAAAGGAACCTATGAGCCTAGTGCACCTTGACAATAGTCATTAAGATCAATCAAGCAACTTATCATGCAAAAACAAACAATATGAGAAGTTCCCCTAAGAATGCTTGTGGAAATTTCAAGAATGAGGGAGCTATATGTACAACCTCCAACCAAGCTTATCTTTCAAGAGTTGTACACAAGCTATTTTAAAGTTGAGACAAATGGAAATCCAACTTAAAAAATGGCCTAAACTAGATCAAAACACAATGCATTTTACATCTTATCTCAAGCTGTAAGAAGCTGTGTTGATTAATCAGTTCCTTACTTGATTTAGGTGTGGCTCTGCCAAAACAAAAAGAAAGTTGTTTTTGGCTATTTCAGGTAAATCTCAAAGGTTATGTAATCAAGTGAACTTATTTTGCATTTCATTATATAAGAATGACTTTTTCGTCACCAGAAAGAATCAAGCAACAGGATTGGCACAAAAGATCATTCTTAATTTGCCAGAACAATAGGTAAGATTACATGTACAAATACACAGAACTTGCTTGTTTACCTGCACACAAAGTAAATCAACATAGAAAAAGCAATTGCTCCGTTTTATTAATGCTTGTTTACTTCTTTTTGGATATTTAGCTTAAAACATTTTTCATTGCACATAAACTTGGACATGGTATGGATATTTATTATGGGTTTCAGGTATCAATCAAATTAATGTAAAAACTAGTGATGGTAGCATCACACAAGCTAGAATAAGACCTACCAGACAAATAAAACGGGTGAAGTCATTAGGATCCAAGACCAACACTGAACAGTTTCAGCAAAGAAAAATACCTCTGGGAACTCCGTATCAGGTGGCCGTTCTTGAAATTGGACACTAGGAGCATGTTGAATCTTTGAAAGATTATCTAGAAGCCTTGCTCTTATCTCATCCAATTGCTGTCGTGAATTTTTGTTCTCCATATTACTTGGTGCAACATGGAGAGTATAATCTGGTCCAAAATACTCATAATATTCATGCGGAGGCATCTTGTCATCAACTTCTACTCCAAGTGCAACTCCTGTCTACTCAAGAAAGTTTACAAACAAAGTTAGATATGCAACCAACCAGGCGATGTTGCAATAGGCTTGACATAGTGCTACTCAACAATTACTGGTCACATTATTAAATATGTTTTAGCCAGAGGCCTTTCTTTGGTCCTTTGAAAAATTGAAGTAGGTGGCTTTTGAACAGAAAGACCTTACATTTGTTTTGCATGTTTGAAAATAGGTCCCTAGATATACATTGTTAAGGAAGTACAAAACATAAAGCAACTACTTTGTTTAACATATGTGACAAGTTCATGCCTGACAGAGTAAAAATTTAAAAAAAGATTGATATATGTTTAAAATTTTCTCATTTTTAGTACAGGGTTATCCATACAACTAATAATACTGGGAGAAACCTCAAACAAACAACATAAGTAAACATAAATATTTTAACTAATTCTATAATACATCTTAAAATAGTTGATTGCTGGTCCAAAAAAAGGCACCCATTACATTTACTATAAAATTTCAAAACAATGATAGTATTTGATAGGAAAAAACATGAGCAAAAGTGCAAGGTGATCTACAAATTCACAGGATTAATTTTATCAAAGTACCTCATAGCACCAACAGCGAGCAACATTCCTGATAGTATATCCACCACCACCTAGCAACAATAGTGGCACATTGAAAGATCTCATATATTTCACACACTCTGCATGACCTCTGATGGAAAGGTTAAAACAGCCCAACCTGTCCCCAGATAATGAATCAGCACCACATTGAAGTACCACAGCACCAGGCCGAAAAACTTCCATCACTTTTCCCATTATGGGTTTGAAGAGAGATTGATAACTCTCATCATCTATTCCATCATCTAAAGGAACATTCAGAGAGTAATATTTTCCTTTCCCATATCCAATGTCACGTATGTCTCCTGTTCCAGGAAAGTAATCTCCAAACTTATGGAATGAAACTGTCATTACCCTGTCAGTCGTGTAGAAGGCCTCCTCCACCCCGTCTCCATGATGGATATCAATGTCCACATATAGCACACGCTAGAAGCACAACGGACCAATATGCATACCATTACCATCACAGTTAACATAGTGAAATGAAAACAAAGGGCGATAGACATAGGGAAAAATGATGTCAATTACTCAAAAAATATAAATTTTCCTCCAATTAACTTCATAAAAATGAAAGTAAAGCATATCCATAAACAATGTATTTGGACTTACATTTTGGTAATCATCAATGCCATCAAAATTCATGAGTTCAATATCTCAGAAAGCTATAGCTACCGGGATGAAGGCCATCATCCCAAAATGCTGAAAGATAAATCCCTAAATAGGTTAGTCATTGTTGCTCACATCCACACAATCACAAATCTGAGGCCACTTCAGGAGAATTAGGATACTTTGGATGTGAACGATATGTACAAACAAGTAACTTTTCCATAGGCAGCCACACAGGTCTCACTAGTGGCACCAAGTACCTTCCTGTGGTTAACCCATATTATTGTAGTCTCTTCCCAAAAACCACATTGACATTTTCACTTAGTTTTACAGAACCTAACTCGACCCTCACAAGCTCCCCCAATTTGATTGGTTTGGCATCAAGCTAACAAAGTAAACTTCTGACCACAAGAACAAGATTTCATCCAATATTCTTTTCAGTTAAAACTATCACTCCTTTATTCATGATGTAAGAAGACAAGGCAACTACGATTTTTTTCACAAAAATCTGAGCATAGACAGAACAAATTGTGACATTGGAGCTTTGAAGAATATGCAATTGAACCGTCCAAATTGGATGGGAGCGACTCAATTAACATGGAAGTAGGTGAAATAACTTTCCAAGAACTAATTTTTACTATCTTTCCGTAATATTGTTATCTTTCGGTCATACAACATAATTAATTACTTTATCGAACGAAAAGCAGAAGAAAGCAGAACCCTAGAACAAAAGAAAAGACCCTAAATTTAAGGGACGACAACCAAGAAAACAAAGCTTAGGGGCAGAACGGAAGAATCGACGCACCTCATGGTGCTTGAGGAGCTCGAGGATGGCGAGAACGATGTCGTTGACGTAGCAAAATCCGGAGGCCTCGCACTTCTTGGCGTGGTGGAGGCCGCCGGCCCAGTTGATGGCGATGTCGTGGCCGTGGTTGAGCTTGACGGCGCCGCCAACGGAGCCGCCGGCGTAGGCCTGGCAGAAGGGATAAAGGCCATCGAAGACGGGGCAGTCCTCGCCGACATTGAAGCGCTTGAGAGCGCGCATCTGGTCCTGCTGGGTCTCCGGGCTAATGGAACGGAGGAAGGCGACATAGTCGTCAGCGTGGAAGCGGCAGAGGTCGCGGTCGCGGGCGGGATTAGGTTTGTAGACCTGCAAGTTGCCCAGGAGGCCGTAGTGGGCGAGCAAGGCATGCGTCATCCGAATCCGGTGGGGCTTCATCGGATGTCCCTGCCCGTAGTAGTAGTTCCCGATTTCCGGGTCGTAGAAGTAGCACACCTTCCGCTTCGTCGCGTCCTGCCCCACGCCCGGAAGCGAGTTCCCTCCACCAGTCTCCATGCCTAATCTTCCTCCTGCTGCTCGTCCTCCCTTCAATTTCTTTCTCCTCTTATTGGAAAGAAAGGAAATGGAGAGCCGAGACTCGAGAGGAACCAACGGAGGAGGGTAGGGCGAGCCGGTGATCGAACTCTATAGAGTTCGCAAGGGCGGATCTTTTCCGTGCCATAGAAGGAAGAAGAGGAGTCTAGTAAACTCAAGTGGCCCTTTTTGGGCCTTATGGGCCTTCCATAGTGTTCGAATATTAGGTAGACCTCCTATTCCATCATTCACTTATATAATAATTATAATTATACAATCTACATGACTGAGAGAAATTAACATTAAGCATTTCAGATGCAACATTACAGAGTTCTTCCACCAAATTTCTCAAAATCAAATTTATTGAAGCAAACTAGTATGAAATGTTCTCTTCCAGAAATGATTACAGATTCAAGTAATGGGCACATCAAAGATCTATTGTAGCATAAGCAGACCTCTCTGATGTCAGGATTCTGTATCTACACACACTAACAGCATCTTTCCTTTTAGCAGTAAGACTGCAGCATCATTTCAGCTGTCATCATCGTTCCCTAATTCTTGGGCCGCTATATCTTGCCCCAACGACTAAGAAGTCATCAGGTTTCTTCCTCTCTTCAAGCCAAGCATACACCCCATCCTCATCAGCTGCCAACTTCCCATCTCCTGAAATAGAACAAGTTGGATAGTATAACAAAGATGTTTACTGATCATGCTAATCATACAAGCATTCAGATAATAGGAGGAAACACAAATTTCTGAAGTTATGGAAATTTATACAAAACAAAATGTAGAATTTTGTTTGATTGGTGAAAATGACACTAACATCAAGTTTAGATGATCAAATATGTACTGGAAAGCTTTTCTACTATACCATGCTGACTTCCCATGTAAATTAACCCAGCAAGGCACACTGTTTTCTTGACAGATTGACATAGCAAGAGATTTTTGCCGATAGTTAAAACACAAATCTAGTATGGTTAATCACTGACAAGCTTGATGACTGAGGCACCATGAACTAGGGATTGTACATGCATATCTGTGAGCAATCACATTTTGAGGCCAACAACCAACCAGACCTTAGCCTAGTGGTTGGCTTCCTCTTCTTCAAGAAGAGGTTTACGATACCAGAACAGCAAATATTAGTAAGAACTGAACAAGTCAAACAGAACATTCTGCATGATGTACCAGAAAAACTATCGAATGGAAGATCGTTAAAATATGTGCAGTCCCTTCCCCGATCAAGGTCTGAATAAGGTGGCCCCAGGACATCAAGCACCGCACAAGATGTTCTTGCAGTGAAACAGTGCATGTTACCTCCATCTTCTGGATAAAGCACAGAGGCCTTGCAAGGCGCTGTAAAGATGGCATCAGTCTTTACCTTTGCCAATCGCAATCCTGGATGTTGATCTGCCATAGAAGAAGAAAGAGATCAAGGGTAAAAAAGAAGAATAAGGCAACACTAAAATCTGTTCTCCTAGTACATGTGTGTGCCTCTGGAACTTACAGTGCAAGGAATTGACAATCTCATCAGAGTTCTGAGGCACATTAACCCAATCATATGATTTGATGTGCATGGAACCGAAAAGAAGCTTGCTGAACACAGTCATCCCTGGATGATTGTGAAGAGGAATGACACCTGATGGAGGCAAACAGAAGATGCCAATCTGCATGTTTGCATGTGATAAACAGGGTTAAACAGTTGAAGAATCAACTTATTTTCAGATATCACTCATAAATTGAATGAAATAGGATCCTCAAGTACCGAGAACTTGTGGCACTCGTAAATGTGCAAGTATGTAACCGACGGAGTTCTTGCAGATGAACTGTTTTGAAAATATGGCATATTCTGAGTAAGGCCAACATCTGAGGCGCCTACATTATCTGCAAGTAGAACATGATTACAGCCATCAGAAAAGAGACAGAAAATTCCATTAAGATATGTAAAAAACAGATAGATATGGAAGTAGTTCATAAAGTTTCTACCATATAAACCCGCCAAAAAGAGACAAGGTTTGTCGGGCCATCTTTACTTTGAAAAGAATCTAATCTAACATAAGAAGCCAAGGATGCCATCAAAATGGGTAAAGCACAAAAAAGCTGAGCTGTAAATGTGCCCAGAAACTTCAAAGATATAATGGACATATTGTATAATGGTCTATCCCATTTTCTGTCATTGAAACATTTCATAAAGAGAGCATGGTCTTAAAAACACATGCAACCAATCAACAATCACTATGCATGGCAGAAAAAAAAATCTTCTTGTACCCTTGGCCCTGCTGCTATGCAAGTCACGTGCATGTGGATTCATAGCACATTCCTTCATCTGTGCTCCATGACCATATGTTCACATGAGCAGTCAACCTAAATTGTATCATACCAAAATCTTCATTCTGAGGTTCTGTGTGTATTGACACCAAAAATGATGTTGGCAAAATCTATAAAGGTGTCACTTAGCACCTTTTCACCAAATATATGAGACCCCAACAAAAATTAAATTTAGAATCTAGGACTTGTCTCAAATTTGACATGGGCAGTTCAACAGACAAATCTTTTACATCGACAACAAGCAACACAATCCAACAAGAAGGTCAGCCTTAATCCGATATTATCCTTCCAATTGTCTACGTTTCAGTAAATTCTCCACATATGCAAAAGGCCAACTGCAATGCTCAAAGGTCTAGCCGATTTGTTTGATACCATCATGTACATGATTACTTATATGTTATCGCGTACATGAGTGTAATAAAAGACAACAATTTACATGCTACAATCCGTCTATAGCCAATCACATAAATGGTCTTGCAAACAAGGTTCAGAAGCATCAGCTATATGAAGCTTACACTGCATTAACATACAAGCAGGATGCACAGATAACACAAGAAAAACAATCACCAGGTATAAAGAAATGCAAGCTGACAACAGTAAGTCTTGAAGCGGGAAACCATCCTAGTTAAGCACTCAAATGCAAGGATGCACTCAAGCGAGCATTTACCGTATTCGTATCAACCGAATGGTTTGATACCGACAAGAGAAACAAGCCACCATAACGTAGCTAAACACCTAAAACTACACATTCCATTGCAATGCTCAGAAACCAAAACTACACCACATGCATCAGTGCTAAAGAGTACCATCTTATGATTGCAACAAGCAAGCAGTGTCGACGAACCACGTACCCAAAACGGACCGAAGACGATTGACATCCTCCAGCGAGGGGATGATCCCGTCCCCTCCTTCCGCGAAGACCTCCTTGCACGTCTCGAACAGCCTCTGCACGACGGACGGCATCTGCCCAGGCTTCTTCTGCTTCCTTCTGCTCTTGTTGGCCGCCTGCAGCCTCTTCCCCGATGAGAATTTCCCGGCGGGCGCTGACGCCTCCGGCTTCTTCTGCTCCGCCAGCCTCCCCTCCAGAGTCGTCACGGAAGTTCTCGATGCAGAGAACGAAGACCAATCCACAAACCCCTCCACCAAACCTGCCAACGCAGTGAGAACGAAGGAACTCGCAAAGCGCTCAGCTCTTGCCGCAGAAAAAGCGGATAAAAAGATGAGGCTTTGACCACCTGCCGATAGAATGTTGAACGAAAGATTAGATTTTTATGGTAATTTTTATGGTGGCACAGGGGAGAAGGACTCACTCCATTGGAAGAGAGGAAAGCAAGAGGGAAGAAAGGCAGGAGGAGACGGATCCCATTTTGTGAAACACAGTCTGCAATATGTATTATATGGGAAGAGATCTTGCAGGCTATATATACTGTATCACAGTCAATTCGCTGAAGTGGGGCTGCCTCCCAAAGAGGAGGAAATGGGAATGGTGATGGGAATGGACATGGAGGGGAAGGTGGATGGTGTCCAAGGGGGAGGATCGTATTGGCAGACGGAAGAAAGTACAACTTGGTGTGGACGGGAAACCATGGGCAAAGCAAAGGAGGGAGGGCAGTTTCCTGTGGGCGACACTCAAACTGCCTTTGGAGAATGACGTATATCTCTGGCCCCATCGTGACCTCCTCCTTCCAGGTTTTGATCTCATTTTTTTGGCATCTACACATGAGATGGGCTGCCATCCACCTGCAAGCAGCACCTTGATATTTTAGTCAACAATACAGATGGAAAGATATTACCTGTCCAATGTTGTCATGCAAGTTAAAGGTGTTCATATGTTCCCTGTTCCCCTGTTTGTGTATTGTCATGCAAGTTAAAGGTGTCTATAATCAATGTGTAGATCACATGCATGTGTGCATGCCCTTTTTCATACCTGATGCTAACAGTATGTTAGATTCCACTGCAAATGTTTTGTGTTATCTGCACATCAGTAGCAAGTCTTTTTTATTTATTGAGTAGAGAGATGTATCCCAATAAATAAAGATGCATGTTGCAAGTTACAGCACATGCAAGCCAAGATCCCTCAAGTCTCACTATCTCCTTGATTCCTAGTCCTCGTGCCTGCTTGTCCTTATGCTATCATTAGAATTCTCCAGTGAGTAGTCACAAGGCTGCTTTTAAGCTGCTGCAATGTAAGACATGAATAAATAAGTATAAAGGAAAGGGGAAAAATAGAAGAAGAAATTACTCATTGTTTGTCAGATGTTTAGAATGGCTGATGGAAGTCATAAAGAGCCACTTACCTGCTACACATGAACAAAGGAGACAAAAGTTGGCACTTATGTCCCTTAAACTTTGGCATTTGTTTGCCTAGTGGATAATAAAGGTTTCCTGGGATTCAGTAAACCTAGTGTTTAATCATTTATGCAATACAACTCAGTAGTCCTCCTGGTTGATACTATGGATGTCCATTGAAAACAGTGGGTGGCCAAACTAGTTTCAATCATATATTAATGTGGGATGATGATAAGTATGTGACCAACTCCATTACATTCTGCATCTCAAAGTTACTATTCTAAGATTAAACAAAAAATGAAAAACAAGGAAAGAAAACCAAATTTGATTGTTAATTCATAGTGGACATTGTTCACAGGAACAAGCCATACTGATGACAAAAAAGAGCTTGTAATTTGTCTGGAATGAAATTGACAGGTGTTGTGGGATGCTGAAAAATGAGAGTATAATTTTTTCCTATAATGGAAGCAACATGTAGCTTGCCTCAGAGGAATAAGAATGGATTTTCTCCATTTTTAGGAGTCCATTCAGGCCTCTCCACCCAACTATTGAGGGGCTGGGCCCAACCAATATATATTGACATGGATTATGGATGGATAAAGTGAGAGCATCACAACATGGGCAAAAGTCCATATCATCATAGATCATGCAACTTCCGATTAAATTTCTCTTCAGGGTTTATATTTAATTAGGAACTACACAGGAGCAATCTTATGGCAGGCATTTTTAGGGAATAGGTATTTTTGTCATTAAACACTGCACAACAAATTTTATGAACGTAAGTTAGAAAGAAAGGAAAAGACAAAAAAAAAAGAAGACTAGAACCTTTACCAAGAACAAGAAGCATCAGCATGACATAAAGCCACTTCACTGAAACAGATGGGATGCTTCAGATATCAGATATTGAATAAAATGAATGGATGCCCAATAACATGTATTAGACAGCTACAAGCATGAGAAAGCTCTGCGAGTTAGAACTTAGCAGATGATACAGAAAAATCAATGTTCATTTAGAAGCAAACCACACTCTCCCACCAGCAGGGCACAAGTAATGATCTTCAACATTCAGCAACGATGATAAATTAGTCTTATGGAATTCTTTCTTGGTTGAAAGCTCAAACTTTCAATATCTCAAGCAAGACTGGGATGAGAGGTATTTCATATTATCCATGTAAATATAGGATGACGACGGATCCAGCACTCCTCACACTTTACTCAGCTCATTAATACATGGGCTAAGATGCTAGATCCAACACTGGACAGGCCAAGCTTTCATTATTCAAATTAGACTGGATGTTGATCGAATCAATTACGAATCAATTAAAAACCATTTAGTTCAATTAAATCAAATGAAACATCTTCTCATTCAACAGTAACAATTCCTCCTCGTGTCCGCGATGGCTGTTTGACTTTGTCTTCATCGATCCTCCTCTCACCATCGGCAAACGACGATTCCTCCGGTGATCGATGGCTATAAACAACGAACAGTGAACAGCGACGACAATTCCTTGATATTCTTCTCTCTTTCTCCTCCTCTTCCCATTGCACACTCCCTCTCTTCTTCCGCCCTCTTCTTGACTTACCCCTTCATTGCAGCATCCCAGCCTCTCTTCCTCCTCCCTCTTCCTGATTCTATTTATTTGAATATATTTATATTTTTATTACGCATAAATTTTAGTATTATTAATTAGGTTTGATAATAATTTTATTTTTTTTAAAATTAAATTAATTAATTAAGATGATATTATTTTGTCAAATAATATCAATTAGCCCTTAATTAACTTTAATCATAGTTCAATCGATCCAATTGAACTCGATTTAACTAGAATGTAACTGAACCAAACTCTAATATTGATTTAATTGATTTGGAATCATCCTAAACTGATTTAATTCGAACTAAATTGAGTTCAATTCAAGTTAGATGGACTTGAATAAGTCAAATCAGTTCGAAATCACTTTTAATCGATCTAAATTGATTAAATCTGATTTGGTTCAATTAATGTTTAGGCTCAAATCAAACAAAGAAAGGACAATAGCCTAGACTGCATAGTGTTGAGCTAAGTTGGGCCCGCCTATATATTGGTCATATGCATTACACATAACTGTGCATGCACTATATTAGGCTAGACCAACCTATAGTCCATGGACTCATCATATGCACTACACAAAACTACCCATGTTGGACTAGGCTGAGCTAGCCTGTGGGTTGTGGCTTGGCCTACTGATTGGGCCTAGTCTGTTGGCTAGTCTTAGTCTATGGGCTAAACCTAGTATACGTGTTGATTTCAACCTAAATTTTAATTAATTCTCTCAATTTTGAATTGAAGTATAATGAAATTATAATTAAAATATTTAATCATTAATATTGAGTCATTAAAACATAATAAGTAGTAATAGATTAGAAAGATGAGATTGCATAAGAGAGGAAATAATATTTTGAATCAACTATTGTATAAATCTAATACAAATTAAGTATTACAACTAGCATCATACATGCAAGATAAAAACTTTAGAAAACTATACATAACATAATAATTACACCATATTTTAATCCAAATCAAAATATATAAAATTTTAAACACATAGAAGAAAATATTTATTTTTCTATAGAGACAGGATATAACTCCTCATTCCTCATTGGTGAAGAAAGAAAGAAAGAAATACTTTCCCTTAAATAAGAGGAGATGAGTCATCCACAAAATAATTTTTTAATTTTTATATTATTTAATCTTTATTTTTTTTAATTTATTGATAAAAATAACATCACTCAACTTGAAATAATCATGGCTTAAAATTGAGAATTTGATTACAAAGATAGACTCTCTTCTCCTCAAGAGATATAATAAAATGGATATATTAGACATAAAAGATTTCAAGGTAAGAGAAATCCAATGATAACATACACAAACTAGGCCTTATGATGTTCAAGGAAAGACAAGTAATGGTAAACCTACTTACACAAGTTGCTAAGCACATGCAAAAGAAACTTGTTGGAAAAAATGATCTATTTAATTCAAAAATGAAAGACAAATTTATCTATTCAAATGAAGATTTCCACTAAAGCTGATAATCTTGTCTTGAAAATTCATACTGCATTTGTTTTTTGATGTCTTTAAAGAAGGAAATGAAAACAATTAAATGCTTCTGTTGCAAAATTAACACAGAAAGATTGTAGAATCTTTTCTTAACATTTCTTCACAAAAGCAAGAATTCCACAAAACATTTTATCAATACATGGTTATAGTGAAACTAAACTGGTCATATTTCTTGTTCTTGCCTACTTGAAATAATACATATTGAACCAAACATTGATTTGGGTGCCTAAAGGATTGAGCAATTGCATTTCTGGATACATAACAAAATGCATTGGGAAAAACATATATGAGCTGTGAATATCTTTATCATCACCCCAAAAAATCACAATACAATATATTTGATGATTTGGTAACTGACTCACCCAAATGTCTAACATGAATTTTTGCTTAATTCATCATGAATTTGTATATGACATCATTAAATACAAATATGGTTCTATCTTGAAAACGTAAGACTGATTCTATTATTTAGGATAAGCATATGCCAAATTGAAATACATTTTTTATGCTTATGATTGTACCCTAAGTTCATATACATATTTATCACATTCACTAATGGTAACATGCTTTGCTTATGGCTTGAGCATGTATGTGATGATTTGCAGATGGAAAAACAAATACAATTGTATGTTCTAAGTTTCTTCATGTATGATGAGAGCCACAGAGATGCATTTCTTTTAACTTAAAGGCCTTGATAATTTCAACACATCAAGAGGCAGCAAAGAAGCAAGTATGCGCAACATTGTCTTTATGAATGAGCATTTTCTATTAAATATCAACAAATTTTTATTGCTTCACTGGAAGACGAGATTTTGATGATGACCTCAGTATTAAACTTGTAGCCTCTGTACTATACATGTCACCTGATGGTCAAGGAAAATGTATAATGTTGCGAAACAATAATAAAATTAATGAGATAAATTTTAGTCCTAGAATTTGTATTGGCTGTCTACCCAGTTTTTTTTTCCATTTTATTGGGGAAAAAGTTGGGGGTGATTATTAACACCCGTGTAATGAATGAACAAAATGGATGTGATCATCATTCGTGCGACAACATAATATCGATTTCAAGCACAAATTTTAGGGGATATCTCGATCCTCGTTAGAACCACCAAACAAATGCTTGCGAAATCACTACCCGCGAGTTCTAACCCCAGTTTTTCGAGATCAAAAATTATACCACTCAAATGTAGGAGCAAATTCGAAATTTCGAGGAAAAAAATTTTACTGCACCTAGTGACAAAGCGTTCCCGTAATAGGACGATGCAGAAAGCACAAGAATGCAA